GAGAGAGAGAGAGAGAGGAAAGCACTAAAAAAACGCTTATAGGTGAAGTTCTACCGTACTTCACTTATGGCTTTATCATCGTTCAAAGTTTATTGCACGGTCTTAGATGTTTGATAATGTCTGAATTTTAATATTTGTTTTACAAATCATAAAGATCTGAAATTTTGTAGGTGTGTGGGCCTTAGTGAGATGCACATGAATAAAATACAAAACAAATAATTTGAATGATAAAAATTATGCAAAATACCCCTATAAAGTTTCAGAGGTATTTCATCATTTTATTTTATTACTATTTCTTTTTTAATATTTTATTTTATTGAGACTTGGTCAGATGTACACACGCCCCTAATTTTAGATAAATCTAATTAGTACAAAAATTATAAAAATTCAAATACTACCGCAAATTGTCACCATGTGATGAACTTTGGACGATGATGAAGTGTAGATGAAGTATTGTAGAACTTCATATATATATATATATATATATATATATAAGCCAAGATCACCCTAAACTATCAAAAAACTAAAAACTTTAATAAACTCTTGTTAACAAAACTTAACACTTACCTTATCTTAGAAATTGAAAGATTAGACTATGGTAAGCTATTACTTGTTGTAATATGCTGACATAGTATAAGAATGTTATGATGATAAAGATGGCAGAAATAAGAGATATGTCTATGACTATCCAAGAAGTATGCGTATGATTACGAACTTTTATGCTAAACACTAATTTAAATTGCATTTTGGAAAAACATAATAATCACATATATTGATTCAAGAAAAAGAAGTACAGGAAGGAAATACACACTTACGGATTATTACAAATACATAAGCTGGAAAATGACTGCCATTCGTAAGGGCAGTAAGAAGGCAGAGTTGACAAATTACAATCACACATGTATTAACATAAAGTGAAGAGTAAGAAGTTACCGACTTGAGAGACGGTAGGTTTGTATTTACAACAGTACTAAGCTACTGTCATAAGAAAGAAAGAGTAAGAGAGCAGAAAGAAGAGAAGAGCGGAAGAGAGCAAAAGAGAAAAGAGCAAAGGTCTAGGCTGAGCTTCTTTGATCTGCGGAAGTCCTTGTCTAAGCCTGTTTCTTGGTAAGGAAGTGGGGTTATTTATAACTGAAGGAAGAGGTAGCGTAGTGATGAAGGTATTGGCACTTCATATTGAGATAAGAAGGTTGTTGTTGCGTCGGTGATAGGATGTAAAGCCGAAGGATGGGATGTAAAGCAGAAGGATGGGATGTAAAGCCAAAGGGATGTTGTCGGGACTCATTGATGTCGAGGTTTTGTCGAGCATGTGGTTGCGTTTTAGTGGTTGACGAAGGATTGACGTGACAAATATTTAGTCACATCACTAAGGAATCTCTTGATACTGTAGTTGAGGCTACGTGGCGATCATTCGAGGAAGGTGTTAATGTAGTTGGGGTCATATCACGAATAAAGTTGGAAGCAAGAATCTGCTTTAAGTCGTATCATGAAGATAGATGAAGCTGATGCTGATCGTATTTGGTCAGGTCGCAATATCGGGTCGTAATTATTGGTCAGGTTGCTGGCTGAAATCTTCTAACAGTGGATTGCTAGATTGAACCGTCTCTTCTGAAGTAGCAGGTGCTGTAATATCCGGAGCAAAGATATTGAGAAGATTTTGTTCTAATTCTTCAAGGGTAGCATTGGGGTGTGTTAGTCTCATCTTTTTCAAATATGCCGAAAATGTAGGTAGGCTGACTGTATTATATGCTTGTGGATTCAGGATATTATTCTGAGGAGGTATTCGTTTCAAAGTAAAAGTGGCAGGATCAGTACTAAAGATATCCCACCATTTAATTTTGATGGTTTTGCCTAGCTTAGGAATGTACTCACAATTGTGAATATTATTTTAAGAGATGGTATAATCCCACTTGAGGATCCATGGTATTTGGTAGATGGCCATGAAATAGAGATGAAAATCATTTAGGTCAGTGCAAGTATTATGTTATGCAAATTTGGTCTGAACGGCTTGGAAAGAGTCTGGTAGGATTTGTGTCTGGGATCCCCATAATAAAAACCAGTGGCGGAACCAGTTTGGGAATCTTTCGTAAATAGGAAGTTTGAATTGCAAGTACCAAGAGTGGGTATTATTTGGATTTTGGTATGAGAAAACCTTATGCCAGGCTTCTATATACTCAGCATAATTAAAATATTTGTATTGAAATTCTTGGTTTACTAACTTTTTTCCTTGTAGGGGGTTATAGCCCCAATCTTCATAAGAAAGTAGTCTTTTTATTTGAAATTTAGAATAAGCATATAATTTAGTGGTTCCTTGATAAAATTGACACAAATAAACTGGCTCTAGTTTACCTTGTAAACCACTTAAATCCATCACACAGAGTTAAGACCCGTGAGTGGTATGAATCCATTCTCATGGAATCCTCCACCATGGACTGATGTCCATACTTTGGCTGTCCAACGACTTAAATTAAAAGCGAAAGAATTACCATGTTTAACTTTATCTAATCCTACAGCTTTTAAAATAATTGAATGCGATGCTTCTGAATTAGGTCTTGGTGACATCTTAAAACAATCAGTTGACTCTAAAGAACAACTAGTACGATTTACGTCCAAAGCCTGGAATCCTACACAAAGAAATTATTCTACTGTTAAAAAGGAATTACTTGCTATTATTCAATGTGTTTGCAAATTTCAAACTGATATTCTAAACCAATACTTTCGTATTCGCACCGATTGTAGAGCAGCAAAAGATATTCTGCAAAAAGATGTTCAAAGACTTATTTCCAAACAAATATTTGCCCATTGGCAGGCCATTCTATCTGCTTTTGATTTCTCTATTGAGCATCTTCACGGCTCTGCTAATTCTTTACTTGACTTTCTTACCCATGAATTTTTGCAGGGGGGACCGTACCTTACCACCACCTCCTAAAGAAGATACTCTTCCATACGGTTTGCAACTATTTCTTGCCAATAAGAATAACAATATGAATAATCCTCCAAACAAAAGAGGAAAACAACCCATGGACTTAGTACCTTGCACTATACCTGGGCCTCTTATGCCCAGCTATCCCTCTTTGACTCTGACACCTATGTCACCTCTCAGATCCACAAATTGCAGTTAAACCCTTAACTCGCCTAGGACTTAATAATTCCATCTTAGTATGTCTACGTGACACTAGACATAATAGATTTTCCGACTCACTACTTGGAATGATAGAATCAAGTTTATGGAGCGGACCTATTTATTTTAATTGTTTTCCCAATTATTTTGTATCACTTACAAATTCACTTATTTATACAATTGCCCTTCATTTCGTAGGAAATACTGCTATACTTGCAGCTCGAACTGCTGATCTTTTATCTAATTTACGTTGTCCCACAAATTTGAAAACTCAGGGTTTTGATATGATGATAGGTTCCCAAAACATAGCCATAGTATATCGTCTTTACTACAAAGTAATGAATACTTTGTGTCCCAATGTACTTCAAGTGGACACACGAGGACAAAGTATATTTTTTCAAACAAATATGGAAAAATCAAATACTATCATCCCGAAGACAATATATTGGTCAGATATTATCTTACCACAAACATGGTCCATTCATAATGAAAATCAACTATCACAAACATCTATCCAAAATGTTCCAGATAAAATTATTAAACATACAGATGAAAACATTGAAATCCAATTCACAAATAATAGATCCTTTCAACCAATGGATTATTCATCTATCTCTGGTACTTCAAGTACTTATTCTTTCCGAAAACCAGAACCAGAACCAGCAAGAAATTCTGTTATGACATACAACAGAATTCTTCCCATCATAACCATTCCATCAACACCTATTACGTCAATAAAACCACAAATAAACTGAGTAATTATTTCTCTTTTTTCATCAGGGTCAGAAATTTTCTCGATTAGGTTTAAAAATAAGATTATCTTCTTTTGTTAAGGTATGAATATCAGAAGTTGTGATAGGACATTTACATACTTCTTCATCTGTGTCAGAACTACTATTTGTAGACCAATAGAAATCATCATTATGAATTTTTCCTATAAAAGATGTATCACTACTTGATGAAGTAGTGTCTGTATCTGAACTAGTGGATGAATCATATATTTGAATGATGTCATATATTTTATTTCTGATTTGCTCATCTAATGTAACAGAGTCTAATTTTTGTTGGACTTTGCATTGGCTTTTATAATGGCCAATTTTTCCACATTTATAGCAAACAGGTAATTTTTTTCCTTTTTGATGGAATTTTTTAGAAGCAAAACGTTTAGAAAAAGACTTATGTGGGTTTTCGGGTCAATTAATACGATGTTTTTTCCTTTTATGTAATTTATGTATTTTATGTGGTTTATTCTTATCAATGTGATAACCAAATTGTTGGCAGAAATCTCCTAACTCTTTTTTACCACTTATGTTTTGTTTATCAAGTTGTTTCTTGAGTTTCATATCTGTGCATAGGGCTAAGCCTTCAGCACATATTTCAGAGGATAATTCACCTAAAGTATATTGAGAGTAATTGATTGTACCACTATTTTTATTTTT